CCCCCCCCGCCGCCCCCGGGCTGGCCGCCAGCCTCAGCGTCCAGCCCTCAGGACACCCAGACGCCCACCCAAACAGGGCTCGGGAAATTGACCCACGGCGTGGGGAGCAGCTGCTCCAACCCCTAGAAAGACAACCTGGCAAGGGAAAGCAAGGGCAACTGCACATACCTCCCTCCCCACAGTGGCCCGGAACAGCCTGCTCTCAAATGGGACTGAACAGGGAGGAGGGGGGGCCCAGGGACCCTGCGCCCACCCCTCTCTCCTTGCCTGTCCGCCACAGGGGAAGTCAGGAAACTGGCCACACTTTGGTCACTTCTCCCAACTTGGGTCCTTCTGCCTTATGCCCTGAACCTCCCTCAAGCCCACGCTCATCACCCACCCCAGTAAACAGCCTCTCATCAAACAGAAAGAACGAAGGGAGGGGGGCGGGGAGGGGGCCACAGCAGGGGTGGGGGAGGGCAGGCACTAGCACGACGTGACCGGATGGATGGGCAGCAGGCTCCCGAACTTGAAGTGCTGGATCACGGGGAACTTCTCCAGGCACTGCGAGGAGGAGGGAGCAGAGAAGAGAGGTGAGGGCCGCACTGCACCCCTGCCAAGGCCTGCTCGGCCTCTCGGGCCTGCCTCCGAGGGACCCCTGGATGACTCCGGAGGCCCGGAGCAGCACAGTTCCAGCAGGTGCCCACCCAGGGCCCAGGAAGCGGCCAGGCCTTTGGCAAAGGGCGGAGGTTCCGACCCATTCCTGATCACCCCCTCCCATCCAAAGACCCCGCACTCCACGACAATCAGGTCAGGTCCACCAAATAACGAGAATGAGAGCGAGTGAGAGGGACCGAGGGAGGGGGGAGGGAAAGAAGGCAGCCTAACCCCACAAGGCAGCCGCCAAGAAGAGGCAGCCGTGACATCACTTGGCCCAGAGGGACAAGCTGGGGACCAGAGGTGAAAAGAACCCTCCAGATCATGGGGGTTCTCCCAGCCCTGGAGAAGAGGTGTGGGGATACTGGGACCCAAGCCCGAGAAGGGTGCAAGGCCCGTTTTCCCAATGTTCAGTTCTTTAGACTGAAAAAGGCATCTTGGCACTTCCGAGTGAGACAATAAGAAGCAGCTGACAGCCTCCCCACCCCCAGGGCAATTCCCAGCAGCCCAGTGCGTGGGGCGGAGCACAAGAGCACTGCGCAGGGGCATGGCTGAGCAGGGGATGGCGCTGCTCCCTGAACCCAGCCCAGCCAGGGCCTCGGCCCCAGGGCTCTGGCAGAGGAGGGGAGACAGAGAGAAGCAGGACTGACCAAGAAGCTGGCCTGGCCCACAGGCAGCCAGAGCCCAGGCCCACACCGCACAGCACGGGGAAGGTGACGGGCCCCCAGCCCCCCGCACCAGCCCTGCCATGCCTCTACCCCCACATAGGCAGCAGCCCCGCACACGTGAAGAAGGGTCTGCCTCCTCTCAGACCTCTGGCCACAGAAACAGGCAGAATGTACACCTCCTGGCTGGGGCGCAACGAGACTTATGGCCTCCGAGAGGGTGAGAGTTCCATCCTGTGGCTGTGCTCCCCTCCAAGTAACTCAGAGAAATAAAGGTTCCCTCACCGCAGGGGTGAGGAGAGAGAGAGAGAGAGAGAGAGAGAGAGAGAGAGAGAGGGGGAGAGAGAGAGAGAGGGAGAGAGAGAGAGAGTGTGTGTGTGTGTGAGTGAGGGGGGAGGAGTGTGTGTGTGTGTGTGTGTGTGTGTGTCACAGTGGGGGGTGGGCCACAAGGCCTGAAGGAAGGGAGATCTACGACGGAAGGATGGGGAACCAAGCTCTGTCTGTGTGGGAGCAGAGCTCCAGGCCACAGCCAGGCTCCTGGGCCTGGGGCACAGAAAGTGGGGAGCAGGCAGCTGGGGGTGGGAGGGGAGGGAAGAGCAGCAGATACAGGCCAGAAGAAAAGGCAGCTGCCATTGTGCTTATGTCATGGAGGAAGTGGTGGGAGTTTCTCAAAGGCCCCCCCCCCCCCCCCCGCCGCAGGGTCCTGGAATTCCAGAAAGGGTCAAAGGTCAACCTGCTTCTAGCTTTCAGGCCTGAGAAACTGCAAAGGCAAGAGGCCTAGGGGGAGGGCGCAGGGGCAGAGGTTCTCCCCACTCCACCCTCAGGGACCCAGAACAAGCTTCCCCAAGGCCTGGGGCAGGGCGGGGGCCAAGGAGCTGGGCTAAAGGCAAAAGGCTGCTTGGGGCAAAGAAAGTGGGGGGCTCCAGGGTCACAGCAGAGGGAGCCTCTGGCCAGGCCTTTCTCCAGTGACCTGTGCCCCTGCGCTCCCCGTGTCCTGGGCAGAGCAACAGCTTCCGCCTGCCCATGTGCAGACCTTCCAGCTGGAGGCCCTCCCAGGTCCCGGCGACTCGGGGGGAGAAGGGGCTCCCCAGGTCGTGACAGGCCCTTCTGAAGGGAGCCCCAGCACGGTGACAGCCCTCAGGAAAGACAGGCCCCACCACCCACAAGGGTCCCGGAAAGCATCTGGTTCTTCAGTTCAGAAAGGCTGAACTGACAGGCAGTTTGGAGATGCAGACAGCTGGTCCCCGATCCTGATGCCAGGCCCGGTCAGGCCTCTATGGCAGCTCACGGGACCCGCTCCCCTCCAGCAGCCATCTCTGGCCAGGGGCTCTGGCCTTTGCTAACCCCCATCTGGACTTCAAGAATGGTGAGCCTCAAAGGTCTTCCCCAAGGACCAAGAACTGGTCTGGAAAAGCCAGTCCTTTCCTTGCTTTCCTCCGAGCAAAGAGCATGTGACCACATGACTCACAAGGACCAAAGACTAAGGGCAACCTGCTAGCAACTTACAAACGAGTGTCGCATGTCACAGAGACTTGGTGTCCTTAAACTAAAGTCAGTGAGTTCCAGCGCTGTCCTACAAAGCCGTGTGGCTGCCACGCAGCGCCCGGCAGGCTGCGTGCGCCCAGGGCTGGAATTTCCGGGTCTCAGGAAGGGCGCTGGGTTATCTGCTCGTGCTCCCTCAGTCTGGTCCTGAGCTGTGGGCAGTTTTCTGTGGCTGACCTCATTGGGCTCAACATCCAGAGAAATACTGACAACTGTTACACCATGGACTGTTTTGTCTGTGTGGCCCCATCACCGTCTCTAATCTTAACCTGCTCTTCCCTCAACCTGTCAGCCAGAGTTCTTTTGCCTTTGGACAGGGCAGGTAGGGAAGGGAGGCAGGGTCTCCTCCGCCCTTAGGGGCCCAGGTCAATATAAGTTTAGTCACTCAAGTAAGAGCCTGCAGAAAGGACGGCATTTAAGATCCCAAGCAGGAAAGACACCAGAGAGTCCCGCGGGGGG